CCTCACCGCCATCTCGAAGCTGGGCCCCAACGGAGTATTTAGCAAAGAAACAGACAATGTAAATAAATGAAAGCATTTGAAAAAGTGAATTTTCATGGAGCCTGTTGGCCAGCGCACCAGCTGTCTGTCACTCCAAACACCACGTGCTCCACTCAAACTGACGGTCTTTCTGGAGAAACTGTTCCACCTGTCACCCTGGAGGAGAGAAAGGCTTGAGGGGTCCAGAGGGAGCTCGGGGGAATGGTTTTGGATTTCTCTGTTCCAAACTACACCTGATCTTCACCCACGTATTCAGTTACTTAAACCGTATTCTGTTTCTGAGCGGAGGTCGGAGGTCAACAGCACACACCAGCGAATGTGGAAATTAGAACTGAAGCAAAATGTATGACAAGAAAGTGGGCCAGAGCACGGGGGTGAGTTTAGGCGTGGGCTCAAGCCTCTGATGTGGCTGTGGGCACGTGTCACAGGAGCGAGAAAGGGAGGGGACGAGTCAAGGACGGGCAGCAGTGGCGAGGAGGGAAGTTGCTCCGTTTGCCTGCGGGAGCGGCCCTGCTGGCGGCGGCCCGGGCGCTCCCAGCCTGCCAGCGTCCGCACCCCTTGAAACTCTCAACAGACAGTTCCCTCAATTTACGCTGCAGGTTTTCCTCCAGAACCTTCCAATCACGCAAGGATCTGCCTCACCAAATGGCGGGCTTGTTGTCTCTTGTGTTCACCTCCTGGCTGCATCTTGGGTCCTTCTCCGGCCGTGTCCCGCCTGAAATAGCAGAATCTAGAGGGCCAACAGCATCAAGCCAGCCACGTCCACCTGGATGAGATTCTCCACCGTGCGGTCCTGGGGATGTGACTAGAAGTTGTGGTTACAGGACTCAGAGGGGTCAGAGCAGACCCGGGTCGCCCAGGAGCCCCGTGTGCCCACCAGGCGCCTGCCTTCGGCGGGACAGCCGTGCCCTCGGAGCCCAGCCTGCACCGAGCCTTCCTCCTGCCCGTCACCACCCCTGCAGTCGGACATGTTTGTGATGGGCTGAGCTGTCAGTCACTCCTGAGGACAAACAAAGGCAGGTACAGGTGAGACGTAGAGATGCTTAGGTGACCTCTGGTCTCGAATGAGTCTCTAGAACTCGCCGTGCCAACCTGAGTCCCAGAGGGAGCACATCCGTTATCTCAGCTGCATCCAATTAGGAGGCAAAGTTGAGCCTGTGGGGTTTCAGTCTGTCCTGAGAACCAGGAACGTGAAGGAGCAGAGGCTGGGTCTGCCGCTCCGTTTCTCCATCTCACCCAGCTCTTTTTTTTTTTTTGTATCTGACTCAGGATTTTATATTTCCACGTTTTATATTTTCACTTTATTTTCTTCTATCTACAAATCCATTATTTTTAAGAATACATGGTGGCATATCTATAACACAACAAGGCAATGTTTCTAGGAGCAAGGATTACAATTACCATAACCTCTAATTATTCATTTAGTTGTCATCTAGATAGTGGTATTGACTAGAAACAAGCAAAATGAGGTGCTCCGTACCCCTGAGGGAGGAGGAAGGGCTGTGTTAAAGGGGGACTGTGATGGGAGAGGTCCCCCTGAGCCCACACTCTGCCCCCTCTGCCTGTGAGGAGGAGCCCACAGTGGGAGGGGCCGGGGCCCCTCCCTGTTACCTGTCACTGCCAGGGGCAGGGGGTCACCCCACCCTGACCGACCATCCCTGCTGTGATGTGCACACTGGTACAGCCCTGCAGTGCCTGAGTTCCTGGATTTAAAGGGGGAACTGGCCTTGTTACTGCAGTCCTGTGAGGCCCCGTATCCACGGGTCCAGAGACCCTCCCTCATACAGACAGTACACATCAGCTTGCAGGGACCACTGACACCAGATCCCCTTGGTGACCGTGGGGCCTGGGTCAGCCCAGATGGAGGGTTCGGGGAGGACACCTGGAAAGGAGTCAGACCTGAAGTGTCAGGGGTGCCCTTCTGCCCTCAGTGTCCCCAGATGTCACTCCAAGGTCATCCCCAGACTGGCCATCGCCAGCTCAGACCTGCTGTGCCCCCCCAGGTCATTGGGATGGGGGGATCAGAAGGCTGAATCAGGAGGACTGGGGAGAACTCAGCCTCCTGGACCTGGTTCCGCAGTCCCCGACACACCCCGGAAGTGTGCATAGATACAATACATACAACGACTACAGCGTAATGCGGCGAGGGAAGAGGGAGGTGTGTGTGTGTGTAAGGTTTTCACATTTCCCTTGAAGGTATAAAATACTCCTCTCACTGGACTGTCACGTCAGGTGTGCGCATGATACTCTCTCGAACAGCCGCTTAAACAGCATCCAAGGAGGCACAGTGACAGCACCAAAAGAGACAGTACAACAGAATGCTAAAAATATTTTTTAAATCCAGAAAAGGCAGGGAAGGATAAATAGAAGAACAAACAAGTAGGGCAGGCAGACAAAAACATTAAAAAGCAACCTAAATAACAATCTTATCAGTAAATGTATGTAAGTGGACTAAACACAGCAGTTAAAAGACAGAGAGTCTAGGATTGGTTTAAGAAAAACAACCACAAGCAAGACCCAGCATCATGCAGTTCAGAAGAAAGTCACCTCTACTACAATGATGCAGACAGCTTAAAAGAATGAACAATGTGGATGAACCTTGGAAACATCATTTGAAGTGAAATAAACCAGGCAAAAAATGTCACATATGGTACCATTTCACTTACACAAACTGCCTAGAGTGCCCAGATCCCCACCAGCAGGACCTAGAGTGGAGGCGGCAGGGGCGGGGGAAGGGGGCACGGGGGCTGCTGTTTAATGGGGGCAGAGATTCTGTTTGTGATAATGAAACTGTTCCGGAAAATGGATAGTGGTCATGATTGCCCAACATGGTAAATGTACTTACGGCCACTGAATCCTACACTTTAATAATGTTTACATGGTGATAAGTGTTACGGGATGTATATTTTACCACATTAAATAAAGAGGAAGACTAAGAAATGAACTATACAAACACTAATCAAAAGAAAATTTAAGGGATGTACTGGTTTCCAGTTACCACAAATTACCACAAATTCAGTGGATTAAAACAACACAAATTTACTGTCTTACAGTTCTGGGAGGTCAGGAGTATACAGTCAGGCTCACTGGTATGAAGTCGGGGAACAGCGAGATGTTCAGTTACTTCATCTCAGTCCAGAACCAAAAGTCTGAAATGCAATTCTCTATATTGGCCATGTATCCAGCGATGCTGGAAAATGCCTTTGTAATTTGATAGATAGAACATCTTACATTATTTTGGAATTTCTCTG